AACCCTTCAAAAACCTTTGTAAACTTCTAAAAACCTTTAAAACTATTTTTAAATCTTTGTATGCCTTTAAATATACTTTTAAATCTTTTTAAAAACACTTGTAAATCCTTTTAAAAAACCTTTAAAAATCCTTGTAAATTTTTAAAATCTTTTAAAAATTCTTGTAAATCCTTTTAAAACTGTTATAAACTTATAAAAACTTTTAAAACCATTGTAAATCATTTAAAAACCATTTAAAAACCTTTGTAGGCTTCTAAAACTCTTTAAAAACCATTACAAATCTTTTAAAAACCATTTAAAAACTCTTGTAAATCCCTTTAAAAACCCTCGTAAACCCTTTAAAAGACCCTTTAAAAAATCTTGTAAGTCCTTTAAAAAATTTTGGCGGGAAAATTTTGAAAATATTTTTTTTTGCGGGAAAATTTTTGCGGAAATTTTTTGGCGGGAAAATTTTCTCGGAAAAATTTTTGGCGGGAAAATTTTTTCTCGGAAACTTTTTTGGCGGGAAAATTTTGGTGGGAAAGTTTTTGGCGGGAAATTTTTGGGGGGAAAATTTTTGGAAGGAATATTCTTTCCTTTGTGAAAGAATATTCTTTCAAATAGGGGTAAAATAGCCATTAAAAATTAAGAGAGGGCAAAAATGAAAATGGTAAAAAAAGAGGGTATTTTTAAAAGAGGGTATCATAAAAAGGTTATTGGTATCAATTTCTCTATTTAAATTGTGGGACATGAGCGTATGATAAAAATATCATAAGCATAAATAAAATTGTTTTTCTTTTATGTTTGGATTGATTATTTTATATCTAGAGTATACTTTTTAGGGATAGAGTTTAGTGTTTAGGATTTAGAGTTTAGTTCTGAATATTAAAAAAAAATTGTTCACTAAAAAAATTAAAAAAAATTAGTTTTGTAATATTTTTGGACAAAATTGTATGAAAACCATGAGAGACTACAATGACACATCACACATGTTATGTTGTCAATTATCAACTTAGTTTAGAAAAAAAAATGTTTCAAACATATAAAAGTTTATAATATGAATAATTAAAATTATAAATATTGATATTCTATTGGTTAAATATTCAAACAGTTTTCTCCAATGATTTTAGCGTAAATATTAACCAATGGCAAGGGAGATGGCTACTGTCCCACTATCCCGTCTAACATCGACATGACATCGACGAAGAAATTTCATCGAAACCTTGTTTTTGTTTTTCGGTTGACCTGAATAGTCAATGGTTGACCCATACGACGACTTACTCACCTCCACCCGTGGCTTACACTTGAATACTCTTATCTTCTCAATTCTTCAATCCACTTGTTCATTCTTTTTCTTTGTTTTTTTTTTGTTTTCTTCAATTCCAATGATCTATAACGTTTTCTTACTCTTATCTGTCCTCGTTTCCGTCGCCGTCGTAGGAGAAGGAGCAACGGTGTTCGAGCCCACCGATGTGTTTTTCATCAACTGCGGCGCTACCTCCAACGACGAAAACGGTGGCCGAACATGGACGCCGGAGAGAAATATTCTTCCCTCGAATTCAGAGTCTGCGTCCTTCACTTCAGATGCGTTATACCAAGAATCAGGTGTTTCTCAGGTGCCGTACATGGTAGCTCGTCTTTTCCGATCTGAGTTCACTTACAGTTTCCCACTCTCTCCCGGTTGGAAATACCTCCGGTTATACTTTTACCCGACCCGGTACGGATCCGGTTTCGATGCCGCTCATTCCCTCTTCGACGTCAACGTCAACGGTTTCACTCTCTTGCGAAACTTCAGCGCAGATTTAACGGTAAAAGCTTCCAAACCGGAGTCAAAGTCTGTTATCAAAGAGTTCATTGTTCCGGTCTACCAGACTCTGAATATCACGTTCACGCCGTCTCCGGATTCGTTAGCATTCGTTAACGGAATCGAGATTGTGTCCATGCCTGACTTGTTTTACTCAAAGGGAGGATTTGACGACAAGATAATATACGTCGGTAGAGAATTTGACTTGGACATAAACAACTCGACGGCTTTCGAGACGGTTCACCGGTTAAACGTAGGCGGACAAACAATCAGTGACGTCGGCCATTCGGGAATGTTCCGGCAGTGGCTTTCCGATGATGGTTATTTCTATTATTCGGCCGGAATGGTTGTGAGCATCCCAGGTGTTAAGATCAACTACACCGAGAAAACCCCAGCTTATGTTGCGCCGGATGACGTGTACACCACGTCTCGCCAAATGGGGACTGTAAAGGACCCTACGCTCAACCTACAATACAACCTGACGTGGTACCTTACAGTCGACGCCGGGTTTACATACCTCGTGAGGCTACATTTCTGTGAAACTATTCCGCAAGTGAACTCAACGAACCAACGTGTCTTCAGCATCTTCGTCCAACATGAGATGGCTAAGAAAGAGGTGGATGTGATTTATCTCAGCGGTGGTTTTAGTAACCCAATGTATCTAGATTTCGGTGTGGATGTTGGTTTCGAAAATGGGTTAAGACCTGATCTACAACTTGACTTGCATCCTTTGATAGATACTGACCCTTTGCATTATGACGCTATTCTGAATGGTGTGGAGATTCTCAAGCTGAATAAGTCCGACGGTAATATCGCTGGACCTAATCCAGATCCTCCAGAATCACCAGGCTTAACACCAAACCGTGTAACGACGCAGAAGAGAGGTAATAACAAGTCACATGTTTTGGCGATCACACTTGCAGTGGTTGGTTCTTTAGTTGTGCTTGCAATGTTTGTTGTTGGTGTTGTTGTTTTCATGATGAAGAAGAAGAGGAAGGGGAGCAACGAGTTTAGTGTACATACCACTAGCAAGCCGTCTACGAACACTTCATGGGGTCCTCTTCTGCACGGGACAGGTTCCACGAATACAAAATCCGCCTCATCTCTCCCATCTGATCTTTGCCGTCGATTCTCCCTCTTCGAAATCAAATCCGCTACAGACAATTTCGAGGAAAAACTAATCGTTGGACTAGGCGGGTTTGGCTCTGTCTACAAAGGACGAATAGACAGTGGAGCCACACTTGTCGCGGTTAAACGGCTGGACATTACATCAAACCAAGGTGCCAAAGAGTTCGAAACAGAGCTTGAAATGCTCTCAAAGCTCAGACATGTACATCTAGTCTCTCTAATCGGATACTGCGATGACGACAACGAAATGGTGCTTGTCTACGAGTATATGCCACATGGTACACTTAAAGATCATCTTTACAAGAGGGACAAGGCCTCTGATCCTCCATTGTCTTGGAAACGAAGGCTAGAGATTTGCATTGGAGCAGCTCGTGGACTACAATATCTCCATACTGGCGCGAAGCACACGATCATACATCGTGACATCAAAACCACAAACATACTTCTTGATGAGAACTTCGTTGCTAAAGTATCTGACTTTGGTTTATCAAGACTCGGTCCAACAAGTGCTTCTCAAACTCACGTCTCCACTGTCGTCAAAGGAACGTTTGGGTACTTAGACCCTGAGTACTATCGCCGTCAAATCTTGACGGACAAATCTGACGTATACTCCTTTGGTGTTGTTCTGTTCGAGGTTTTGTGCTGTAGACCGATCCAAATGCAAACTCTTCCACAGGAACAAAGAGATTTGATACGATGGGTGAAGTCAAATTACAAAAGAGGAACCGTTGATCAGATCATTGACAAAGATCTAACTGATGATATCACTTTAGTATCATTGGAGAAGTTCTGTGAGATAGCCATCAGATGTGTTCAGGACCGCGGAACAGAAAGGCCAACGATGAACGACGTTGTTTGGGCGCTTGAGTTTGCTCTTCAGCTTCATGAGACTGATAAGAAGAAGAGTGACAATGTGGAGTCTGTGGATGTAGTGGCGCATGGTGAGCTAGGTATGACGACAGAGGGAGAAGATGACATGTTTAGTAGGACTACAGGACACGTGGCGAACTCGACCACGACTGATGACTCTCTTCCTTTGGTTGGTGGTGAGGGGAGTGGTGAGAGGAGTGGTTCGAGTTGGGGAGTGTTTTCGGAGATCAAAGAACCTAAAGCACGGTAGACTTTGATGGCTTGATAAACAAGTATTACATTCTTGTTAGGGTTTTTATATACTTCATACAATATTTGTCTGTATAATTGTTGAATAATTACATTCTTGTTTGGGTTTATATACTTAATACAATATTTGTCTATGTATAATTGTTGAATAAAAACATAAAGTATTCTATTATTATTATGAATTTATATTTTTAGCAGTTTAAATAATATAATAATTTCTTCTATTAAAAATTCAAAAATTTCACATTCTATAAAGCGACAATTTAAAATGCTATGCTGGCTTATGAGTTAATTATATCTGTTTTAATCAGCTACGAGTGAAAGTGGTAGTTGAGAGTGGTTGTGGCACTCAACTTCTTGCACATACTCATGGTTCAATACTTCAATTGGTATGCTTTGGCGATCTTAAGAAACTCGTGGACTCTTTTCTTAATACTTCCCAAGTTCACTCTCTGTGTATGTGAGACTCGAACATGTACCGAGACTACGGTACTTAGTGATAACTATTCTAGAAAATGAGTCAGAATATTAATGTTGGTTTGTCGTCACAAGCAGCTTCTCTAAGCTTTCACAAGAGTTCGATTCTTAACAATATTTAAAAGAAGACTACTTGCAGACATGTCAACATATGATTGGTTTTTAAAATGTTTTAGTCAATAATTAAATTAACTTAGATATATTAAAAATTTTAATTATTATATTTGAGAGACTTTGAATTCTCTACCCACTACAAATATACTAAAAGAACCTATGTTCTCATATCTTATTTTAAGATTAAAAAAAAAAAAATTTGTCAAAAGATTGATTTTTTTTCTTCAAATTATTGATTTAAATAATAAACATATGGATTTTTCTGTTAAAAACAGTTCATATAAGTGTTTCCCCAATTTTGAGGAAAAAAAAAAGTGTTTCCCCAATTTATTAAAATATAATGTTTTTATCATCATTCTTATTAAAAAAATTATAAACACTTTATAAGGGGAATTTCGAAAATACTAAATATATAACGTGAAATTTACTAGAATTAACGTACTATTCAAATTTTTCAAATAATTTAATACATAAATGCATTTTTTTCCTAGTGCTATGTTTGTGTTAAATGATTGCGATGTCACGGGACGTTATAAAATAAAAATACAAATAGAAAGAAAACTTATAGTTTTTAAGTTACTCCTTCTCTTTTGTATTTTTAACCTTCAGTTCCAATGATCAGTAACGTTTTGTTAATACTCTCTATCCTCATCGTAGGAGAAGGAGCAGCGTCAACATATGAACCCACCGATGTCTTTCTCTTCAACTGCGGCGATACTTCCAACAACCTCGACGACACTGGCCGGAACTGGACAGCTGAAGATCCCAAAACCATGTCGTCAAATTTAGTCAACGCTTATTTCACTTCAGAAGCATCATACCAAGAATCAGGTGTTTCTCGGATCCCTTACATGAAAGCTCGAATATTCCGATCTAAGTTCACTTACACTTTTCCGATGAATACTTCCGGGTCAAAATTTCTCCGGCTATACTTTTACCCGACCCGATACGGATCCGACTTCGACGCCGTTAGTTCTTTCTTCTCCGTCAAAGTCAACGGTTTCACTCTCTTGAACAACTTCAGCGTTGACTTAACGGTAAAAGCTTCCAAACCCAAAACTGACTTTATAGTCAAAGAGTTTGTTATCCCGGTTAACCAAACGTTGGTTCTCACTTTCACGCCGTCTCCGAATTCGTTAGCTTTCGTTAACGGAATCGAGATTGTATCCATCCCTCAACGGTTTTACTCAAAAGGAGGATTTGACGACGTTATAACAAACGTTGGTAGTTCCGTTGACTTCTCTAAAAGAAACTCAACTGCTTTCGAGACGGTTTACCGGTTAAACGTCGGGGGACAAACCGTCGGCGATTCGGGAATGTTCCGACGATGGCTCTCTGACGATGAGGTAATACTCAATCAGAACTCAGGAACCTCTCCGATAGTACGAGATATAAAGATAAACTATACAGTGAAAACTCCGGCGTACGTTGCGCCGGATGACGTGTACGCCACGTCTCGTTCAATGGGGAACGCAGATCACATTGAGCTAAACTTAAATTTCAACCTGACTTGGTTGTTTACAGTTGACGTTGGGTTTAGCTACCTTGTGAGGCTTCATTTTTGTGAGACTTTACTGGAAGTGAACAAAGCGGGTCAACGCGTTTTTTCGATCTTTATTGACAATCGAACAGCTACACTTGAGATGGATGTGTTTCGGTTGAGTGGTGGTTCTTGGATCCCGATGTATCTAGATTATCATGTGATTGTGGGTTCGGGAAATGGTGTGAGGCATGATCTACGGCTTGACTTGCATCCTTTGAGAAGTGTTAATCCAAAGTATTATGATGCTATTCTGAATGGTGTAGAGATTCTCAAGATGAATGATCCTAATGGTAACCTCGCCGGGCCTAATCCAGATCCTATAGTATCACCGGGCTTGAATCCAAACACGCGGATTCGGAAAGGTAATAACAAGTCAAATGTTTTGGCGATCGTACTTGCAGTGGTTGGTTCTTCAATTTTGCTAGCAATGTTTGTTGTTGTTGGTGTTGTTGTTATCATAAAGTGGAAGAGGAGAAACAAGTTTGGTGTGCATACAATTAGCAAGCCTTCTACGAACTCGGCAATGGATACTCTTCCGCATGTTGCGGGTTCAATGAAAACAAGATTGGCCACATCTCTCCCATCGGATCTCTGCCGTAGATTCTCCATCTACGAAATCAAATCCGCCACAAACGATTTTGAGGACAAGCTAATTGTTGGAGTAGGTGGGTTTGGTACTGTATACAAAGGACGAATAGATGGTGGAGCGACCCTTGTTGCGGTTAAACGGCTGGATATTACATCAAACCAAGGTGCCAAAGAGTTCGAAACAGAGCTGGAGATGCTCACAAAGCTCAGACATGTACATCTAGTTTCTCTAATTGGATACTGCAATGAAGACAACGAAATGGTGCTTGTCTATGAATATATGCCACATGGGACAGTTAGAGACCATCTCTACAAGAGGGACAAGGTCTCTGATCCACCACTGTCATGGAAACGTAGACTAGAGATCTGCGTTGGAGCGGCTCGTGGACTACAATATCTCCATACTGGCGCAAAGCACATGATCATACATCGAGATATCAAAACTACAAACATACTTCTTGATGAGAACTTCGTAGCTAAAGTATCTGACTTTGGTTTATCAAGAATCGGTCCAACAAGTGCTTCTCAAACTCATGTCTCCACCGTCGTCAAAGGAACGCTTGGTTATTTAGACCCTGAGTACTATCGCCGTCAAGTCTTGACTGAAAAATCTGACGTATACTCATTTGGTGTTGTTCTGTTCGAGGTTTTGTGCTGTAGACCGATCAAAATGCAAAGTGTTCCACAGGAGCAAGCAGATTTGATCCGATGGGTAAAGACTAACTACAAAAGAGGAACCATTGATAAGATCATTGACCAAGATTTAAATGATGATATCACTTCGGTATCATTGGAGAAGTATTGTGAGATAGCCGTGAGATGTGTTCAAGATCGCGGTATCGAACGGCCGTCGATGAATGATGTCGTTTGGGCGCTTGAGTTTGCTCTTCAGCTTCATGAGACTGCTAAGAAGAAGAAGGAAAATGTACTGGAGTCTCTGGATCTAATGCCACTTGGTGAGGTTGGTACGACGACGACCGACGGAGATGACTTGTTTAGTAGGACTACAGGACACGTGGCGAAATCGAACACAACCGATGACTCTGTTCCTCAGGTTGGTGATGAGGGGAGTGGTTCGAGTTGGGGAGTATTTTCGGAGATCAAAGAACCTAAAGCACGGTAGACTTAGATGGCTTGATGTACAAGTATTATATTTGTGTATGTATCATTGTTGAATAACAAACTACATTGAAAATGGTTCACAAAAATAAAATAAAAAAATTAAACTGTATTGAAAATATAATACGTATTATGAATTATATTAAGCCGTTTAGATTGAGATAATAATTTCTTTAATTAAAAATGAAAAATGAAAAATATTAATTACTTCAGATAAACCTAGAGAGTATGTAGTATATATGCTGCTTTGTTTTCACCCATTACTCAAAATTTTCTACTGCTGTTACGTGCAAAAACATGTTATAAGAATCTTAACTTAAGATTTTATTGAAGATCTAGCCCTCTTTTCTCATAAAATCAACATACAAATTTAGTATGTCTTGACATCACGGATCGAGATCTGTTTCGTCTCGGCTTTTTAAATTAGTCTGTCTTCACGTCATGTCCACGAGAAAGTATGTTTTCACGTTTTAAATCATTTTTACAAGTTTTATAAGGTTTTTAAAAAGTTTTTAAAGGGTATGATTTGTTTTTTTTTTTTTTGTCATCCATAGTAGGATTTGTTAATAACTGCATTTATTTTATTTATTTTAATTCAATGGTATTGATATCATTTCAGCAATATGCTTGTATAACATATATTTACAATTCTACCGTGATATAAGGTATCATGAATCGCTCTAGATTCAATGGACTAATTGCACAAAGTTGGCAAATTATCTTCGAAAATAGAGAGATATTTGGGTAGCCAATAAACGCTTTTGTTATTGAATGTTATGCAAAATTTGAGAAAATATATTTATTTATTTATTCTAATGTTTACGTATATATACATACCCTTTCTCTGAGTGCACATATATTTTTGGCTTAATTAACATCATATATGAGCGATTGTTTGTTGATTAGTAGTTAAGCTAAATATAATATACTGTTTTCTAATATATAAATATCATTTATATGACTCGTTTATATAGACTGATTGCGTTGATATTGAATTAAAACAATATAAAATAGATATTACGGATTCCTTCCAAAAATAATTAAAAATTTAAGGATTTTCTCCTAAATTTGTTTTCCCAACTATTATATTTTTTACATGGAGATAATATCATAATAATTGAGGGATCCATAATAGCTGTTTTAATTATAATTTTTCTTAAAACAATGGTCTTGATAAACATCTCAAAAAAATACCTTTCTATAACGTATATAGTATTAAATATAAATCTTGTGGACAAATTAACAAAGAAATCTTATCTATTAGCTCGTGAAAAGAAATAAACTAAATAATTAAGAAATAAATCTAGGCAAAATAAATAATAGACGATCCCCTTAAAATTTGTATATATACCTAAAACTTTTAAACCCTAACACACCACCAGATCTTTACATTCATAGTTCTTGATGATAAACTTGGAGAAAAAAGCCGAGACGAAAGAGGTCTCGATCCGTAATGTCCATGACAAGACAGACTTGCTCGTGGACATCTTTGAAGCCTTCGTGATTGATGACAGAGATGTCTTGAAGCCACACTACGGCCCTAACTACTACTTCATCAAAGTATGGATAAACGAGGCAGAACAGTACGGGACATCAGTGGTGAAAGGTTTCAAAGGCAGATCCATTATTGTTAATCAAGGAATTCAGATTCCTTTGGAGTCTTCTTCAAAGTATTTGTACGTAGAGGTTCTTAAAGGATGCTCGTTTAGAGATCCTGGAACATCTAACGGAACTGTTGTCATGGGTCGTGCGAGGATTACGCTGCCTCCTCCGTTTAGTCATGGCTGGATCACCGGTGTCTTTGATCTTGTCGGGTTTAAGAGTGGTGGCGGTGTTGACAGTGATCTATGTCTTGTCAAAAAGGGAACCATAAAAATTGCTATGAAACTTCGTCACATGAGAAATCATCGTGAAATTGTTCCTTCCGGATAGGAGAGAATTAGGGTTTTTCTTTTTCTTTTCTTTTCTTTTATTAAAAATATTTTTGTGTCTTTGTTCTAAAGATTATTGATTTTTAATTATTAAGAACTGCATTGTAGTTGATTTGATAATTGATATACTTCTTTTTTGTTAGATCTATTCAATACGTAGAGATGTTTATGAATCCATACTATGCAATATATCTAACTGAATATCGGATACGGTTTGATACAGAGAATCTAAAACTTTTTAAGAAAGTGATCCGTTGGATCGGATCAGCCGTAGAACTTTTCTATATTTCACTTACGATTCATTATTTCATTTGCATCAGAGTACATGTGCTAGAGATACATCAAAGTGTTTAACAAAACGAGAAGCCACCCATAAGATAAGACTCACTCATTCACCACCAATGACTTAATGAATCTCACGTAAGATGTGAGACCTTATCTTACGACTTGCCTTGTATCCTTTGCGAAGCATTAGTCCGAAGCTATTCTAAATGGTGTAGAGATTCTCAAGCTGAATCATTCTGAAATCAATGGCTATATATAGCACCAAACAGTACTGTAACGTACGCCGTCACATGTTGATGTTATCGTGATAATTGTCATAGTCGTCGTAGGTTCTGCAATAGGGATCGAAACTTCTATTTCTGTTATTGTCATATGTACCAGATGAAGAGGAGGAGAAGGAAGACAAATAGTGCTGTCATGTTCAAGCTATTGCTAAAACATTACAATTATACAGAATTAAAGAAAATCACAAAGTCATTTTCATACACCGTTGGGAAAGGAGGATTTGGAACTGTTTATGGAGGAAACCTTTCTAATGGTCAAAAGGTTGCAGTAAAGTTCTTGAAGGATTTGAATGGAACTGGTGAATATTTCATCAATGAAGTCACTAGCATGAGTCAAACGTTTCATATAAACATTGTTTATCTGCTCGGGTACGTTTTGCCATGAAGGTTCTGAAAGAGACTGCATCTGAACTTTTGGAGAATAGGTCTTTCGATCAGTTTATGTCTAGAAAAGAGTAGCTATCGGTAGATGTGAAAACACTATATGGAATTGCGCTAGGCATTGCTAGGGGATCGGAATACTTGCACTATAGATGTAAAACACGAATTGTACATTTCGACATTAAACCTCATAAGATATTGTTAGATAGTAATCTTTGTCATAAAGTCTCAGACTTTGGGCTTGCTAAGCTTTGTGAGAAAATAGAAAGCATTGTGTCACTGATAAATGCAAGAGGAACTATAGGTTACATTGCACCTGAGGTGTTTTCAAGAATGTACGGCAGAGTCTCGCATAAGTCTGATGTGTATAGCTATGGAATGTTGGTCCTCGAGATGATTGGAGCAAGGAACAAAGAGAGAGTAGAAAACTTAAGCCTTCTATGCATATTTCTACTGTACTTATTGCTGAATTATAACTAAAACCTTTGATTCTGCAAATATTTAGCGTGAAATTTTACATTTTATTGGGTAAAAAGAGTTGTAAGAGATAAGGAACAATGTAAACACTCTTTTCTGATTCTTTAATAACAACTCTCGAGACTATATAAGGTTAGTGATCAAAGATATTATAATATCAACTAGATAAAATCAAGATTCTAAACAACATATTTGTAACAAAACTCAAAAACTCTAAACACTTTGATTGAATTACACAATAGGTTAGTCATCAAAGATATTAAAAAGGAAGAAATAAACGGCACAAAAATTAACCCTCAGATTTTGAACATCGTAACTCTTAAATTAGAAAGCTATATATGCTTCATCCCTCAATTTTTCGTCTTCATGATGTATTCAAAATGGCTCCTTTGAGTCCAAGATATTGGCATGTGTTTATAAACGAAACATGTATATCATTTATAAACATGGAATCAATATGAACAAACTTGTTTTCTTGTGAACAAAATTCTCTTTGGCTTCCAAGAGTGACCAAAATTAGCTTTAGAGCTAACAACACAGATTCTAGACTTACCAAAAATTTAGTAAAAAAAAAAAAAACCACTGGTTGGAGCCGAAGACTTTTCAGTATTTATCTTTATCAAATTGTGACAAAGGAAAAAAGATATCTATATATTATAAGCTTTGTATAGAAATTTCAACAACGTATACGTAACGGCTAGATTTATTAAAAATCAGAAGTGTACGCATCGGATAAGAATGAATAACTCGTCAAAATATCAAATTCTATGGTTTCAATGTGCTTACATTGATCTTACAGTCTATTACTTTGTTTTCATTGATAGGAACTTTTTTTTTGTTCTGTGTTCTTTGTTAGAAACTTCTTAGTTTTGCTTTGTCTGTTAACGGTTGACTCATAGACTCACTAACCACTTATGACTTCAACTTCAGTTATACACACTCATCTGTGTCATCTCTTATCTTTTTCTTCGTCCATTAACTTAGAAAAAAACAATATAAAAAAATCTCGATGATCTGTTATGTTTTGCTCGTTCTCTCTATTCTCCTCTCCGTCACAGCTGGAGGAGGAGGAGCTAAGGCGGCATACAAGCCCACAGATGTCTTTCTCATCAACTGCGGCGATACTTCCGACAACATGGATGACAATGGTCGGAAATGGACGGCAGAAGATTGGAAACTCCTGTCATCGAATTTAGTCAACGCATCGTTGTCTTCAGAAGCTGCATACCAAGACTCAGGGGTTACTCTGATTCCGTACATGAAAGCTAGAATTTTCCGATCAGAGTTCACCTACACTTTTCAAGTCACTCCTGGTTGGAAATTTATCAAGTTATACTTTTACCCGACCCGATATGGATCCGACTTCGTCCCCATCAGTTTTTTCTTCTCTGTCAGCGTAAACGGTTTCACTCTCCTACGAAACTTCAGCGCTGATTTAACGGTAAAAGCTTCTAAAAGAGAGTCAACTTTAATCAAAGAGTTTATCGTTCCAATTCACCTCTCCGGGTTAAATCTCACGTTTAAGCCGTCTCCAAATTCGTTAGCTTTTGTTAACGGTATCGAGATAGTCTCCATGCCTGACCGTTTTTACTCAAAGGGAGGATTTGACGACAAAATTACAAACGTTGGCAGGGAATTTGACTTGGAGATAGACAACTCCACGGCTTTCGAGACGGTTCACCGGTTAAACGTAGGTGGACAAATGGTGGGCGAGGACGAAGATTCGGGAATGTTTAGGCGGTGGCTTTCTGATGATGAGTACCTACTCGGTGGTTCTGGAGTTATTCCGGACATATCAAATGTGATGATCAACTACACGGAAAAAACTCCAGCATATGTTGCCCCGGAAGATGTGTACACAACATGCCGCTCGATGGGAAACCCCAAAAATCCTGAGGTAAACCTGAATTTCAACATGACGTGGTTTTTTACAGTCGACGCCGAGTTTAATTACCTCGTGAGGCTTCATTTCTATGAGACTGTATCCGACCAAGTGAACAAACCGGACCAACGCGTCTTCACCATCTTCATCGGGGATCAGATTGCTAAGGAAGATATGGACGTGATTAGGTTGAGCGGTGGTTCTCGGATTCCGATGTATCTTGATTTCCAAGTATATGTTGGTTCTGAAAGTGGGCCAAGACCTGACTTACGACTTGACTTGTATCCTTATTTGAAATATAATCCAACATATATTGACGTCATTCTGAATGGTGTAGAGATTCTCAAGCTTAACAACTCAGACGGTAATCTCGCCGGACCTAATCCAAATCCTCCATTATCATCAAACTTAACACCAAACCGTGTACGGCCGCAGATGAAAGGTAAATTACATGTCCTGGTTATAATCTTCATAGTCGTTGGTTCTGCAATTGGGCTGGTGGCTTTTATTGTTGTTATCATGTTGTCAATACGTCATATGAAGAGGAAGAGTAAAAAGGAAATTAGTGTCGTCATGTACAAGAAGCTACTGAATATGTACACTTATGCAGAACTAAAGAAAATTACAAAGTCTTTTTCTTACATAATTGGGAAAGGAGGATTTGGAACCGTGTATGGAGGAAGTCTTTGTAATGGTCGTAAGGTTGCAGTGAAGGTCTTGAAAGACTTGAAGGGAAACGGTGAGGATTTCATCAATGAAGTCGCAAGCATGAGCCAGACATCTCATGTAAACATTGTTTCTCTTCTTGGTTTCTGCTATGAAGGGTCTAGAAGAGCGATTGTGTATGAGTTTTTGGAGAATGGGTCTCTCGACCAGTTTATGTCTAGAAATAAGTCACTGAGTCAAGATGTTACGACATTATATGGAATCGCGTTGGGCGTCGCTCGAGGATTGGAATACTTACATTATGGCTGCAAAACAAGAATTGTGCATTTCGACATTAAACCTCAGAATATTCTTATAGACGGCAATCTTTGTCCTAAAGTTTCAGACTTTGGACTCGCTAAGCTTTGCGAAAAAAGAGAAAGCATTTTGTCGCTGATTGATGCAAGAGGAACTATAGGTTACATTGTACCTGAGGTGTTCTCAAGAATGTATGGCAGAGTCTCGCATAAGTCTGATGTGTATAGCTATGGAATGTTGGTGCTCGAGATGATTGGAGCAAGGAACAAAAGAGTTGTAGAAACTATTGATCCCGTTGCTAGTTCGACTTACTTTCCAGATTGGATCTATAAGGATCTTGAAGATGGAGAACAAACATGGATATTGTGTGATGAAATAGCCAAAGAGGAAAAAGATATTGCAAGGAAGATGGTTTTGGTAGGTCTCTGGTGTATTCAACCATGCCCATCAGATCGTCCACCGATGAACAAAGTTGTTGAAATGATAGAAGGAAGTCTCGATGTGCTTGACGTCCCACCTAAGCCTTCTATGCATATCTCCACTGAAGTTATTCATGAATCTTCTTCAGTTTCTTATGGCGAGGAAATAGAGGATGAAATGACTTGGTGATAATTATTGATATGAAAATTCATGTAGGTTTTGTTGATCGGATAAACAAAATTGTAAAAATTAAAGAATAAAGTTTTTATAAAATATAGAAAATATAATACTCCTGATTTATTATAAAAATTAATTATAATAGATTGAACCAAAAATCTAAAATTAAATCTAGATTGAACTACTTAAATAATTTCATAACAATAATTATTAAAACCTACAATTTTTATAATAATTTATGTTTTATTATATTGAACTACGTTAAATAATTTCATAACATAACAATGATCCTATTTTATATTTTATTATATTATAAAAAAAATTGTTAAAATTTTAATTATATTTCATATTTTTCAGGGAATTTTCTCATTTTTCATAAAATTAAATCTAGATTGAACTACGTTAAATAATAATATATATACAACTAGTGTATAAAGTAAAAAGTCTTTTTTGTTTTGAACCAAAAAAAACAAACTAAAAAAGTCGTTAAAAATAGAAAAAAGTAATGGTTTATGCGATCACCAAATAAAGTCTTGACCTTCGACATTAAATTAGATTTCATTTAACAAAAAGTTTCTCTCACGACATTTATTTTATTCTGTATTCCCAAAATCACAGAGGAAGAAGAAACCAAATTGTGGAGAGAACAAAAACACCAATTCGATTTTTTCCATGGCTTAGAAAAATATTTAGAATCCTTAAAAGTTCTCTCTTTCGAAACCCAAATTCAAAGGTTGAGACTTTCTTTAATCGTTTCAGATGGGCAACAAGAAACTGTTGACTGGTGGGTCAAGTAAAGGTTATGGTAGTGGTAGTAGCTACAGAGATCCTCTGTTGCAGAATCAGGTCTGTTCCTTTAACCTTTCTTGTTTCCTACTCTCATGTCTGAGGATTCTTGTTTCTGTAAAGTTTTGTTATCGATGTAAAGTTTCGACCTTTCATCACCAGAGTTACTAGAACTAGATGCAATTTATCATAAAGTTTATGATTTGTTCACTGTTATTAGAAAATTACAAGTTCGATTCCAAGAGTGTGGTTAGTATTTGATTGGAACGATTGGTTCCAATGGGAGAAACATTCTTAAAGTTTGATTGTTGAATTTGATTTTAAGAGTTCTCATGTTTCAGTAAAAGCCCTGTTTACAGAGTTTCTAATTGTTAGTATGTTTACATGGCATTCGTATGCAGGATAAAACGAAAGCGAATGGAAGCGAAAATGGTCAAAATGATCTTGAGCATGGTGTTGTTGAGGTATTCGTTTGTGATGTTTTTTACAGAAACTTTTCTTGTATAGAACAGAAGTGATAGTATCTAATTTTGGTTTTTCAGGCAGCAAATGTCGGATTTGGCAGAGTATTTGCGTTGGTGAGGGATTCTTTTTTAGCAAAGTGTATAGCAATCTTATGTAAAGATACACTAATACTCTAATATTATGGTTGCAGGCGAAGCCCGATGCGGGAAAGCTAGTGATTGGTACCATTGCTTTGTTGATAGGTTCAACTACTAATCTCCTCGTTGTATGTCTCATCTCTTGATCTTTAACTTCCTATCTATTTTATTTTAGTTATCTCTTAAATGTATAGGAATTCATATTTCTTATTAGAACTAAGAAAGCTGGATTTTTGTATGTTATGCAGCCTAAGTTTGGTGGGATGATTATAGACATTGTATCCAGAGATGTCAAGACGCCTGAGCAGCAAACAGAATCCTTGATTGCTGTTAGAAACTCCGTAGTGATCATTTTGCTTATCGTTGTAATTGGGTAATTTACATTTTTAAAATTTTTTTAATTAGTCTTTGCTTGATCTTTAGTGCTTAGGGTTTTGTTTAACTCATACTTCTTTGTCTATATCTTGGTCTCCTTAGATCGTTATGCACGGCTTTGCGCTCGTGGCTATTTAACTCTGCCAGTGAAAGAGTTGTGGCTCGACTGAGAAAAGATTTGTTTAAACACCTAATGCATCAGGTACAGCATTTTTCAAGATTCTTATGATTTGCTTTATTTGTTGCCTTTATTCTTTTATTTAGTCTTTCATGCATTGTTTGTGACTTTTAATGTCTAATGAACTAACTTGACTGACAGGAAACTGAGAAAAGGTTTTTGTTGTTCTGTGTTAACAGGAAATTGCATTTTATGATGTCACAAAAACCGGAGAACTCTTAAGTAGATTATCCGAAGACACCCAAATCATAAAAAACGCTGCTACAACAAATCTTTCTGAAGCTCTACGTAATGTAACAACTGCGCTTATTGGAGTTGGTTTCATGTTTACATCATCTTGGAAATTAACATGTAAGAAGCTATTTCATATCTTTTTCAGATTTTATACCAGTGGATGGAATATACAAACTGACTTTATCTTCTTGTTTATCAATCATGCTTTTAGTGTTGGCACTAGTAGTAGTTCCGGTAATTTCAGTTGCTGTGAAACAGTTCGGCCGCTATCTGCGTGAACTTTCACACACAACTCAAGCTGCAGCTGCTGTTGCTGCATCAATTGCTGAGGTTTTAACTCTGCCTTTTTCATGCAGTGCTTATCAATGTTTATTTTCTCAGTTCATTATTTTAGATTGATTGGAGCAAAATTTACTATCTAGGAATCTTTTGGTGCAATCCGAACTGTTAGATCTTTTGCGAAAGAAAGTTATATGGTATCACAATATTCCGAGAAAGTCGATGAGACTCTGAAGCTAGGACTCAAACAAGCTGTAAGTTTATGTGGACTAAACAATCTCATTAAATTTAACTTTTTGATTTTTGATGTGTCTTTGAGAGGATATATCTGTTTTTGGGTGACGTAGGTACTTGTCGGGTTGTTCTTCGGTGGACTAAACGCCGCTTTCACATTATCTGTGATTACGGTTGTTAGTTATGGAGCATACTTGACAATATATGGTTCCATGACCGTTGGAGCACTTACTTCCTTTATTCTTTATAGCCTCACAGGTTCCATTTGCATTTTTCTTTCTTCATCTGGAATATTTAAAAGAATTATCTTATTAAACTAAGATAGTGTTTTGGCAGTTGGTTCATCGGTATCTTCTTTGTCGAGTTTGTACACAACTGCAATGAAAGCTGCAGGTGCTAGTAGACGGGTATTTCAGATCTTGGACCGTGTTTCGAGCATGGCAGATTCAGGGGATAAGTGTCCGGTTGGGTGAGATTTCCTCTCATATTCCTAAAATAATTTTCTATATCATAAGAATAGTTTAGGTTTATATCTCGGGATAATTATGGTTTCAGTAATCCTGATGGAGATGTGGAAATAGATGATGTCTGGTTTGCTTATCCTTCTCGCCCTAGTCACATGATACTCAAGGTAACGCCAAATCGTCGTTTGTACTTTATATATATATTTTAGTTTAGATCATAATGTTATCATATGAAACATATGTGTATATCCTTCAATATATAAGCATTTAGTATGATTGAAAGTTTGGTAGAACAAATAACTTTTCTTGACTCAAATTGTAGATTTTTGAACCATAACTACAATTTTATTAGGATGATAACAGAGTTCGTGAAGCTGCTACAATTTAACCGTTGCTGAAACACCTGAAATTTGCAGGGAATATCGTTGAGGTTGACACCAGGTTCAAAAGTTGCACTAGTAGGACCAAGTGGTGGAGGAAAAGTAAGTTCTGACTTCTGACCTCTCAATCAAATTGGCTATATGGTCCATTGAATGTTTTTCATATCTTTTATTTGCTATGTGCAGACAACTATAGCAAATTTGATTGAGAGATTCTATGATCCTCTCAAGGGAAAGATCTTGCTTAATGGAGTTTCTTTGATGGAAATATCCCATCAGTACCTTCACAAACAGGTAAACAATTCTTTCTCTTGTATAATTCATGTTTTTGCATATTTGGTGGAACCCAAATTTTGACTTATCTTATCCTGGATTGTGATTATTTCAGATCAGCATTGTAAGCCAGGAACCAATTCTTTTCAACTGTTCAGTGGAAGAGAACATTGCATATGGATTTGACGGTGAAGCTAGTCTTTCCGATGTAGAAAATGCAGCGGTAAGCACATCACAAGTCTCATTCTTTCTCCATTTATGTTGTGCTCATTGGCACATAGGGATAAATTGAACTGAAACCGATCCAAAAACCGAACTAGACTAGAAAACTGAAACTTAGCTTTCTCTGAAGAAAGGGTACATCTGATTAGGAACCCATCCCGAACCTAAACCAAAACTGATCAACACTAGATTCATCGTAAGTAAGGGATTGAACACGCATTCTGATTGGGATCAAAATGAAACGTTGTGACAGAAAATGGCGAATGCACACGAGTTCATTGAAGCGTTCCCGGATAAGTATAAAACCGTTGTTGGAGAACGCGGTTTACGGCTCTCAGGAGGACAGAAACAAAGGATTGCAATCGCAAGGGCACTTCTTACAAACCCGAGTGTTTTGCTCCTTGATGAAGCCACAAGTGCACTCGACGCAGAAAGCGAATATCTTGTTCAGGTATAATAAACAGAACTTTGATATCAAAACTCAAAAAAGACTAAAAACAAAAACAATCTACTCGTATCCTAAGTGCTCTGACTCTGTTTGCAGGATGCAATGGACTCGCTAATGGCAGGAAGAACAGTGTTGGTGATAGCTCATCGGCTATCGACAGTCAAGACTGCAGACTGTGTGGCGGTAATATCAGATGGTGAAGTTGCTGAGAAAGGCACTCATGATGAGCTTCTCAGCCTTAATGGAATCTACACAAATCTTGTCAAGAGGCAGCTTCAGAGTTCTTCCTCTGTCACCAACTTGTGAGATATTATCATTCTTCTGACAACAACAACAACAACAACAGAAAAGAAGAGATCATAGATTCGATTTGAAGACGCCATTTGTATAATTTGACTCTGATTACAAAGCTACAGAGGTCTTTTGTATGGAAACTGAAACCTTCACTCTGAGGAATACAATAAATGTGATTGATTACAAGTACTAAAGATGCAAGAAGAGTGTTTAGATGTGTTGAGAAAGACTACTTTTTATTTTTATTTTAATCTTTTTTTTGTTAGTGTGTTTACGAATAAATCGTTTTCAAAACTTTGTTAAGAAAACTAATTTGATGACCAAGACGACACAAAATTAAAAAGGAAATATGAATTCCTGAAACAGTTTTGTGATTGCTTAGTTACTTCAAGAATTTATAATAGAATGCAAAATAACTTCAAGTGATTGTTTTATTGTGAGGAAATAGTATAACTCCCTTTGTTCCAAATTATAAATTTTTTTGCTTTTTTTCATTTGTTCTATTTTGTAAGAATTTTTACAGATTTTTATGCATCATTTACATTTATTTATTATGTTATGACTATTTGTATTCTCCATTGTTTTATTCTATTGGTTATTTTTTTCTGAATAAATATTTAGTAATATATTTTATGTAAAAATAATAAAATATTTACGGTTTCTTAAACATTGTGATTTTAGCTAAAAAACAAATCTAATAAAATAGAACAGAGGGATTATTAAGTTTTGAGAGTTTTTCCCCAATTTTTTCTTTAAACACTATGAATTTAAAAAGATTTAGGTTGTGGAATACGAAACATTTAATACCCAAAAAAAAAACACAAAATTTGATGAGATAATATTTTTATTTTTTTTGGTTGTTAACCCGTGGGATAATCTGAGTTTTAACACTGATTCATTTCTATGATAAGTGTAACTATTGAGTAACCTATTTACCGAATTTCCTAAAACATGACACTATTTTGATTTTTGATTAACCAAATGACATAAGTTAGCCAAGTTCACATTTAGATGTCTTGTCTCGACCAACAAGACAACTTCTCGATAAACTATTAGACACTATCCTTTCGTTAGTAGGAACTTGGAACAGTTCTTTTACATTTTTAGTACTGTAACTGGTCTTTTTGTTTTGCTATCGTCCCACTTCTTTTATTAATATAAATATCTCCTCGGGAAAAAAGAAAAAAAGTTGTATATAATATGACAATGATGGGCAAATATATCGTCAGATTCAAAACGGATACGATCCAAAAGTCTAGTGTCTGACAAAAATGGCAAAACCACGATAAGAAAAGACAGTCGTAGAATCCAAATTTGTTATGACCTCTCTCTACGTACTTCCATGTGGATTGCTCTCTTACCATTCGTCAAATTGCGTCATATCTTACGTCCGAAGCTTTATAGACAAATCAACTCCATATATTTCTTAACACATTATCCTTTTTTTTTTTTTTTAATACTCCATATATTAAATAAATATATACATAAAACAAATATAGAGACAGAGACAGATTTATTCACTACAACGACCCATATGACTTGAAACAAAATTTATATCCTTTTTTAATTGTATCATTTCAGTTACTATTTTTTTTTTACCTCCATTTTAGTTACTATTTTAAAAGATTTGACACACAAAAAAATAATATATGAATTGTAGTATAAAATGGTTGTCTTTTCAGTAGCAAAACTTATATTTTTAATCGAAATATAATTATTTAACCATAAATGAAAGAAAATCTATAAAATTATAAATGGTCATGATAAAACTAAAATTATTTTTATATAGAAAATGAAAAAAATTATTTAATATTATATATCCACATACATATCAATTTTTTTTTTTTGGTTTTTAGAAGTACCAAAAGAAAATAATAGTAAAGGATACGGTTGGCAATATATTATGTGTTTCATTTTGCGCGTTTAGTTTTTTATGTTTAGATTTTAGACATTTGTTTTCAATTTTTTTTTCTTTTTACAAAATATGTTATATTATGTCTAATGAATATCCATGGACAACCCATAAAAACATGATCATTAATGGACATGGTCACAAGTTGTTAATAGACATGAATCATGTCTATTAAATGGGGGGGGGGGGTCTATGCCCATTTTAACATCACTAGACATGATTAACTATTTGTCCATAATCAAAATAGACAATGTTGGACTGATGAAAATAGACCTGGACAAACTATTTTGACAGTTCCTCTTCCGATCCCAATATCAGTTACTACAACCCATACTAGTAAGAGAAAGTTGCACACAAAGCACATCATGGCTTCGTGCTATAATCTGAAAGAAAAAAAAAGAAAAACAATATTTCTTTGAAACTTAAAATGTGACAACTATGTATAGTCCAATGTCCAAAACTAGAGAAAAAAAAGAGTGAAATATTCCAACGTCCCAACTCATAGAAAAACGAATACATAAATGCAAACATTGACTAAAATTTATAGCCATAAACCATTAGCATGTACACATGTATGTTCATGCACAGATTCTAACTATACCAAACATTGATTTGTCATTCACGTGATTGAACTAAAGTTTATGGAAGCTTTGATAAGTCAATATCAAAAACTTTGATAAGTCGGCATGTGATACTATTTTTCATTTCACAGAACAAAATGTTGTGGGCAGGTGCAGAGAGAGGGAGAGAGATGCTAGCTTTACGTACAAATCACGATTTTTCTTAGTCAAGAAGATCCATTAACGTGCTAAGAAAAGTAACAAATCATTTTATCAATTTTATCATTATAATCAAGTCCATTCTTAATTAACATCCCAAATTGATAGAAACCTCAAATTGGGACGTAATGTACACCAATTAAACTTGTTAAGCATAAAACTCAATATGGTCCATATAAAAACCAAGGACAAATGTCACGTTCATTAATTAGGCAAATGCCATATAAGACGACTCATATGTTTATCATCATTTTGAGTGGTTATGAAATGTGTGGTATTTGATTTGTCCATATTTTGGCTTTGTGCAATTAAGTCTATGTGCGGAGGAATATAATTAAGTTTGGCCCTCATAGCTTTCGATAACGTTCGTTATGAATTTTAATTAACTATAGTCGTGTACTTCTCCTGATAGACTAATGCTAGAAGAACATATTAATGCAAACGCCTTATGAAAAAGAAACATATTACAAGTAAAAAACATATCTAAACAACTTTAAGAAAAAAATATTAATGAAGAAAATAACAAGTAAAAGAAGTTTACATTGATATATAATATCATTCTAATCTAATCTGAATTGAATCAAATTATTATACTCAAAAGATAAAAAAAAAAAAAAACATTATAAGATTGGTATAAATAAAATTCTAGTTTGTACATTTAAAAATAGAAAGTAATTTTATTTGAAAAAGAAGATATAAAATAAAATAAAAACTTATTATAAGAAATAAAATTTATTTTAAAACTAATATATATTATAGATAATTATAGAAAGTATTTAAAGATATATTTGACTGAAAAATAAAGGAAATAAATTTAAATTGTAAATTTTCATCTGAAAAATCTTTTACCATTGACCTTGACCAGCTTGAATCCATATCTTTTTTTTTTTGTCAAATAAATTGACTACTTTTGTTATCATTTGTGATCTTTTTCAAAAAGGAATATCCTTCTATTGTTTTGTTAAATATTTATTGTTATTTATCTTCTTGTTAGAAACAAAATTGAATTCTTCCTACAATTCATATATATATATATATATATATATATATATATATATATGTATCCTAGTATGATCATCGCATAACACATCTTGGTGACCAAAGAAATGGTTTCATCATCACTTAATATCATTGAGGTGGCACGAGTCACCCCTTCAAACTCCGACTCGTCCGAGTCACTAACCATCCCACTCACCTTCTTCGACCTACTCTGGTACAAACTCCACGCCGTCGAACGAGTCATCTTCTACAAACTCACCGACGCAACTCGCCCTTTCTTCGACTCAGTCATCGTCCCCAACCTCAAAACCTCTCTCTCCTCTACTCTCTCTCATTATCTCCCACTCGCCGGCAAACTCGTTTGGGAACAACTTGACCCAAAACCAACCATCGTCTACACCCCAAACGACGCCGTTTCATTCACCGTCGCCGAGTCAAACGCTGACTTTTCCCGTTTAACCGGTAACGAACCATACCCGACCGCCGAGTTACACCCGTTAGTCCCCGAGTTGCCTGTCTCCGACGACTCAGCTACCGCCGTGTCGTTTCAAGCCACGTTATTTCCAAACCAAGGGTTTTGCATCGGCGTTAACGCACACCACTCCGTTTTAGATGGGAAAACGACAACCATGTTTCTCAAATCTTGGGCGCACGCATGCAAAAATCAAGATTCTTCTCTACCGGAGGATCTAATCCCAAACTACGATCGTACGGTCATAAAAAGCCCGACGGATTTAGATACAGAGATCTTGAACGCTTGGCACAAAGTGGCCAAACTGTTAACCGGAGGTAAAGAACTAGAAAACCCTAAAAGTTTGAAACTTCTATGGTCGCCGGAGATTGGTCCCGACGTCGTCCGGTACACTCTCAATCTCACTAGAGAAGATATACAAAAGCTTAGAGAACAACTCAAAAGAGAATCCTCTGTTTCATCAACACCAAAGGAGCTTCGTTTATCAACGTTTGTGATTGTTTACTCATACGTTGTAACGTGTATTATCAAAGCTCGAGGCGGTGATCCGAATAGACCAGTCGGGTACGGATTCGCTGTGGATTGTCGTAGCCTCATGGTTCCACCGGTGCTATCGAACTATTTCGGCAATTGTGTCTCTGCTGCTTATAAAATGCCGTTAAAGGCAGAGACTTTTATGAGTGAGGGGGGGTTTTTAGCTGCTGCAAGATTGGTTAGTGATTCGGTTGAGGCATTGGATGAGAATGTGGCATGGAAGATACCAGAGCTTTTGGGAGCTTTTGTGACTGTTCCACCAGGAGCACAGGTTCTTTCCGTTGCGGGTTCGACCCGGTTTGGAGTTTACGGGTTGGATTTCGGGTGGGGAAAACCGGAGAAAGTGGTTGTTGTGTCGATTGATCAAGGCGAAGCGATTTCTTTAGCTGAGAGTAGAGATGGGAATGGTGGTGTGGAAGTTGGCTTCTCGCTCAAGAAACATGAAATGGATGTTCTCATTGATTTGCTTCATAAAGGACTAAAAGATTGAATCATTTTTTCTCTGTATGGATAAGGTGAAATTGTAACTTTCTATTGTCGCATAATTCTCATAGTTGTCAACAACATATATCCTCGGTGTTTCAACCTTCCATAATTTTATTATCAAGTTTAATTACCATATAATTCTCGTTTGAGAGTGCATGGCTTCTTAAGTTTGGGCTTTCTCGGGGTTAAAATAGTTTGTAGTTTCTTTTTGGTTCATTGTATTGTCTTTACCATCGTTGTCTCTTTTTGGGCATTTGGCACACAAGAATAACCAATCTTTCAAACTTTTAATAAATTGTTGAGGGTAAATTTTTTCTAACCGTTCGTTCAAATTGACATGTGTCATAATTGAATATGCAGTTCCAGAACAGCTTGCTGTGAAGATCAGGAAGCTGCATCTGTTCAGACGCCTGAGACCGCATCAGACGCCTGGGATCACATCAGACACTTGAAATTGCTGACATGAAGTCGTGAGATGACGTGGCAAAGTTTAAGTGGATGGAGTGACGTGCTAAGGAAGATTTCTTGCTTGGCAGCTAAGATAGAGACGAATTGCGTGTGAAGATATGGTGAATATTCTTCACATCAAATAAGGAAAGGATAAGCTTGACAAGCAAGTATATTCCGTTTCCGTGAGATCCTCGAATATCCTAGGGTTAGGGTTTCGAGTAGTGAGTATAAATAGTCTAGGGTTTGGCCACGAGCCATTCTTGAACACTTTAGACTCTTTGTACGTGATTGTAAACTTCGAAGCTAGCAAAACAAAAAGCTGAGAAGGTGAGTGTTTGTTTTCTCTTGGGACTACACGGGTGTAGGAGAGATAGGTTTAGTGCTCGTTCTTTAGTCGGGTTCAATTCTATTGGTAGGGATAGATTGAGTAAGAGCCGAGACAAAATTGTATCCTAGGAAAGATAAATTTTGTTAATAAAGATCGAAGGAAAAAGCGTTTGTTTGGCGCGTTCCAAGCTTAACTGTCTGTGTGTTTCTCTATACATTTTCAATAATCATATCAGTTTGAACGGTTATTAGCTTTGAAAACCAAACTTTATATACTAAAATATAGTTTCTAGGGTAGACCAAATTTTAAATGATTATTGAATTCCAATTCATAAGGATTAAGGAATTTAAATGATTTTAGTAAAATCATAGATGGTAGTAAATGGAATAGTCTAAAGGATTGATAGAGAGTTTTTTTTTTTGTAATCTTGTTGAAATTTTTTTTCTTTAGTCTTGTAAAGTCTCTCAAACTATTTATATATTTTTATGATATTTTCCATGATTTTATTTTCTAAAAAAATGTTTAAAATCATAAGCCAATAACATAATAATTTAATTCAATGATTCTGTTTTAATTAAATAAAACAAAATTTTTAATGACTTTATAAAATTATGAATCTAATAACCTCATATTTATGAAAAAATGAATTTTTAAAAATCAATAACTAATAAAACCAAATTTTAAAAGAGTTTAATAAAATCTTGGTTGAATATCAACATATTTTACATAACATTGAAAGTCATTAAAACACTATTCACAACCAATTCTACATAATATTTAAAGTTATTAGTGTTAAGGATATAGAAATTAGTTTTGAATGTTAAAAAATCTAGTTTAGTTTTGTGGTATTTTAAAAGAATTTATAATTTATAATTGTCTTTTGGTTGTTTTTTTTTTTTTCTTTTTTTTTTTTTTTATCATCAATTGTCTTTTGGTGGTTTTTATGACAATTCCTTATATAAATAGCAATACATTACTATTAAAAAAAAAATTCTTCTTATTATTCCTTTTTTTTTTTTTGGTAAAATCTTATTATTCTTGTTTTATAGAAAAATGAATACCTCTACATCGATCTCTGGTTATAAATGTGTAGCATCATTCCCCGGATAAGTACATTTCTCACCACAAGACTGAAGACTGTGCAGAGAGACATGGATTCATCCCTTAACATCATCGAGGTGGCACGAGTCACTCCTTCAAACTATGAATCTTCCGAGTCACTAACTCTTCCACTCACCTTCTTCGACCTTCTCTATTTCAAGTTTCGTCCCGTTGAACGAGTCATCTTCTACAGACTCACCGACGCAACTCGCCTTTTCTTCGACTCAGTCATCGTCCCTAACCTCAAAGTCTCTCTCTCCTCAGCTCTCTCTCACTATCTCCCACTCGCCGGCCAACTTGTATGGGACGTCCAAGTACCTAACATTGTCTACTGTCCAAACGACGTCGTTTTATTCACCGTAGCCGAGTCAAACGCTGAGATATCTCGTTTAACCGGTAAGGAAACTTTCCCATCCATTGAGTTGTACCCATTGCTCCCTGAGTTACAAAGCTCCGACGAGTCTTCCTCACTCGTGTCGTTTCAAGTCACTTTGTTTCCAAACCAAGGGTTTTGCATTGGCGTGAAAGCACACCATGCCGTTTTGGATGGGAAAACGACAACCATGTTTCTCAAATCTTGGGCGCACGCATGTAAACATCAAGATTCATCTCTACCGTTGGATTTAATCCCAACTCACGATCGTACGATCATAAAAAGTCCAGCGGATAGTGAAAACAAAGTTTTGAATGGGTGGCACTCTTTTGCTAAAATGTTAGCTGGTGGTAAAGAACAAAACAAGCCTAAGAGTTTAAAGCTTCGACCGTCAATGGAGCTTGGTCCCGACATTGTCCGGTACACTTTCGAACTCACTCGCGAAAATATCCAAACGCTTCGTGAGAGACATAAGAAAGATTATTCTTTATCCTCATCTTGCTCATCCTCAAAGGAGCTTCGTCTGTCCACGTTTGTTATAGTTTTCTCGTACGCCTTAGTGTGCTTGATAAAAGCTCGAGGCGGAGAACCGAATAGAGCGGCTGGCTTTGCTTTCTCGATAGATTGTCGAAGCCTCATTGATCCGCCTACCCCGAATTATTTTGGAAATTGCATCGCTGGTTGCTATAGAATGAAAACGGCAGAGACATTTATGGGTGACGAAGGGCTTCTAACTGCTGCTAGAATGGTCAGCGATTCGATCGAGGAATGGGACGAGAGTATGATGTGGACGATTCCGGATTTAGCAGCTTATGCAACTCTTTTACCAGGTACACAAATGATTTTGGCTTCAGGGTCTACACGGTTTGGAGTATACGGGTTGGACTTTGGATGGGGTAGACCTGATAAAGTTATGATCGTATCTATTGGTCAAGGCAATGTGGTTTCTTTGTCGGACAGTAGAAATGGGAATGGTGGTGTGGAGATTGGCTTCTCACTCAAGAAACAAGAAATGGACTCTTTGATTGATTTGCTCCACCATGGACTAAGTTAGTTATATCACCTTTTTCTTTAATTACATGAATAAAATTTGTTATCTGATTGTTTATGGATACGGTATTTGACTATTTGTAGCTTTTTATATGAGGTATGGTTGGTTGGTATTAGAATTTATATCTTCCGAGACCAGTCCTACAAATTAAATCCCATTTATTATCTTGACCAAGATATTAGAGCTCAGTCCAATATCTTTGAGGTTTCTATGTTTCGTGTGTGCCTTATCTTGTACAAAATGTTTTCTTAAGGATACCTTACTTTAAGATACCTCTCAAAATACTACCGAGGATGTCTTTAATCCGTGGTGAAATAAAATCATATGTTAGTATATATCATATATAAGTTTTTCATTTTATGTAAATTTTATTGGCCAACAATAGAAATAGTTATACAAAAATGAAAGAGTTGAATTATTTACAAGTCATTAATGCAAGAAAGGGATAGAGATATACTGTATCTGAAAGAACTTTGAACAACTTTACTGTTTAAGTGTCATAAAAAGAGTTAAGAGTTTGGACGGAGATTGTTATTATTTATTTTTTGTCAACTATAGAATTAACTCAACTAATTGGGACGACATGTGTTTGCATACTTGACAATATGCAGAATGGAACGAACATTACATATCAATAATTAATTTTTCCTTGTAATCCAATTTTGTATTCATTATAGTTATTTCGAAAAAAGAGTTAAAGAATTTGAACCGACATTGTTATTATTCCCTCAGTTTCAAAAAGAGTGTCGTTCTAACATTTTTCATACAAGTTAAGAACTATGGGGAAAAAGTTCCAAACCTATAGAGAGATCATTTCTACTAATTAACCACTATATATAATCACTATAATATTATTTTCTTATTATGAAGCAGTTTTTGGATTTATTCATGAATTATATTTACTATTTTAGGTCTCTCTTACATATTTTGACTACTAATTTTGAAAAATTGGAAACCATTAACCTGCTTTGAATTCATGTTTCATTATTATTTTGTTCTATCATTTCTAGTAATATTTTAATACTATTATTGTTTATACAAAATTTTAATTCTCTATATATATATATATATAAAACGATAATATCTTCTTACCAAAATACAACCCAAAGAAATGGACTCGTCGCTTAATATCATCCACGTAACACGAGTCACTCCTTCAAACTCTGACTCGTCCGAGTCACTCACTCTCCCACTCACTTTCTTCGACCTTCTCTGGTTCAAACTCCATGCCGTCGAACGAGTCATCTTCTATCGACTCGCAGAAGCAACTCGCCCTTTCTTCGACTCAGTCATCGTCCCCAACCTCAAGACCTCTCTTTCCTCAGCCCTCTCTCACTACCTCCCACTCGCCGGCAAACTTGTTTGGGAACCGCTTGATCCCAAACCTAGCATCGTATACTCTCCAAACGACGCCGTTTCGTTCACCGTCGCCGAGTCAAACGCAGACTTAACCCGTTTAACCGGGATAGAACCATTCTCCTCCACCGAGTTACACCCGTTCGTCCCTAAGTTACAAAACTCCCACGACTCTGCCTCCGTCGTGTCGTTTCAAGTCACGCTGTTTCCAAACCAAGGGTTTTGCATCGGCGTAGCAGCACACCATGCCGTTTTAGATGGGAAAACGGCAACCATTTTTCTCAAATCTTGGGCGCACATATGCAAAAATCAAGATTCTTCTCTACCGCAGGATCTGGTTCCGTTTTACGATCGAACGGTCGTAAAAAGTCCACCAAATGGCGATATACAAATTTTGAACTCATGGCAGTCTTTAGACAAAAAATTCAACGGTGGTAAAGAACCAGAAAACCCCAAGAGTTTAAAGCTTCCACCGTCTCCGGTGATTAGTCCCGAGGCAGTCCGATACACTCTTGAGCTCACTCCCGAAGATATCCAAACGCTTCGGGAGAGGCTCAAGAGAGAGTCCTCCTCTTCCGCCACGTCAAAGGAGCTTCGTTTGTCAAAGTTTGTGATTATATATTCATATGCTTTAACTTGTTTAATCAGAGCTCGAGGCGGAGATCCAAATAGACCTATCGGGTTTGTATTTGTTGCGGATGCTCGAAAAATACCCACTCCCCCGATCCCATCTAGTTATTTTGGAAACTGTACCACCGTTAGGGCTAGAGTGCGAGTAACCGCAGGTACATTTATGGGTGAAGAAGGGTTCTTGGCTTCTACAAGAATAGTGAGCGAGATGGTTGAGGAATTGGACGAGAGTGTGGTGTGGAAGACCCCAGATTTTGGAAAGATGACTAGTCTTCCACCAGGGATGCAGTTTGTTTCTGTTGCCGGGTCAACCCGGTTTGGAGTATACGGGTTGGATTTCGGATGGGGCAGACCGGAGAAAGTGATGGTTGTGTCGATTGATCAAGGCGAAGCGGTTTCCTTGGCCGAGAGTAGAGATGGAAATGGCGGTGTGGAGGTTGGCTTCTCGCTCAAGAAACATGAAATGGATGGTCTCATTGATTTGCTCGATAACGGACTAAAAGTTTAATTAAACACTTGTTTAATTTTCTCTTGAAAAATAAAATTGTAACGTCCTACGTTCACTAAAAGCTTTAGTGCCTAGTAGCTTTCAAGATCACGGGTTCGAATCTAAATGTTGGCTACTAGTCATTTTCTTGTTCTTGTATAGTCTCTCTCTCTCTCCCCTAGCAGAAAGTAACGTTCCTGATCTCATACACAGCTTGGTTTTGAGTTTAGAAAGTACCAAAATCTCTATTCTCTCAAGAGTTCTTCCTCTATTCTATTGCTTCTCAACTCTCTTAGTCTACAAGCTCTTTAATGTGGTAGTTTACAAACAACACTGATATGATGAGAACATAGCTGGTTAGTCGGAGTAAACCGACATCATCTATGTAACCGGTAGAATTGAGATCATGTTGTCTTTGATTATCCTAAATTAGTGGGATTACATCTCCACTTAATCACGTATCTTAACTGTAGATTTAGTGGTAGTTTCTTTCTTCGATTTTGTGTATTTAAACATCATCGATTAGTAAATGAAAGGGGACTTGAAATTTGACAAAACAGAGTTTATCTCTTTGGTTACTCGAATCATGTGTTAGACATAACACATCTCTTTGGCTTTGAGGAGGGACCATTCTATCATGATATTAGTCACAAAACTTGTTAAGCACGCCATTTTGTATTTCCCCATCAACCAGCAAACATCGATCTCAGAATCCGGACAAAGAAGATATGTCAACCTTATCACCTTTGCTACTAGATTCCAATTTCAAAACCAATCATCTCTATTATTCTCAAACCTTATCAACTTTGCACTTTTTAAGACAACCAACATTATCTATGGTGTTATAAATATTAAAAGAGAGTGCAGTTTGCTACCACCAATGCTAATGGCGCTAAACGTGATCAAGACCATTCGTGTCTCCCCTGCTACAATCTTTTCCGATGACTCTGCCAGCTTCTCTAATCTCCCTCTAACCTTCTTTGACTTACACTTCATGAAATCCCTTCCTACTCAACAAGTCATGTTTTACAAACTCACCGAATCATCATCATCACGCGAGTCATTCCACTCTCTAATCCTCCCAAAACTTGAGCTCTCTCTCTCCATTGTCCTCCGCCATTACCTCCCACTCGCTGGCTGCCTTTCGTGGGAGCCGAAAGATCCAAAGCCGTGCATTGTTGTGTCTAAGCATGACACGGTATCACTTACCATCGCAGAGACCGGCTTAGACTTCTCTTTCGCATCGGGAAATGGAATACGTCCGGCGACCTATTTACATCCTCTTATACCCGAGTTATTGACCTCTGATGATTTGGCCGCTGTGATTACCTTGCAAATCACGTTATTTCCAAACCAAGGATTCTGTATCGGCATTGCATCTCACCATGCTGTCCTAGATGGTAAAACGTTAACAATGTTTATAAAATCTTGGGCTCATATTTGCAGTTTACAAGAACATAATAAACCTCCGCTTCTACCGGAGGATCTAACTCCATGTTTTGATCGTACGGTACTCAACATTCTGTCCGGACCTGAGACAAAGATGCTGGAACTCTTTTTATCTCTTTCAAAGGACAATGACGACTTAAGAAGCTTGAAGCTCCCTCCCCATAAAGATATCAGCTCAGATATTGTTCGTGCCACGCTTGAGTTAACTCCAAAGCAGATTGAGAAATTGAGGGAGCGAGTGAAGAACGAATCATCCCTCTCTCCGCTCGAGCTTCACTTGTCAACGTTTGTCATCTCGTATGCTCATGTATGGACATGCATGGTAAAAGCGCGTGGAGGAAACGCTAACAGACCAGTACATTTTGTATATGCAGCAGATTTCAGGCATTGGTTAGACCCTCAAGTTCCAACAGGATACTTTGGGAACTGTGTGTTTCTGATAAGTTGGTTTGAATACCAAGCGAGGACATTTTTAGGAGAAAATGGTTTTGTCAAAGCTGTCGAGATCCTAAGCGATTCGGTAAAAAGTTTGAGTTCACGAGGGATAAAGTCAATATGTGAGGATTTTGTGGAGGGGTCGAAGAAAATGATACCAAACGCGCAGATCGGGTCAGTTGCATGGTCACCCCAGTTTGGTCTATACGAATCAGACTTTGGATGGGGTAGACCAGCTAAGACCGAGGTTGTGTCCATTGACCGTAACGAAGCATTTGCTATGTCGGAGAGAAGGGATGAGCCAGGTGGTATGGAGATTGGAGTATGCTTGAAGAAGAGTGAGATGGACATTTTTCTTTCTTTATTTAAAAATGGCCTAAGCGATTAAGCTTTTGTATCGTTATGTTACGATTAATATGTCATGTGTTCAAGGTTGAATTAATCATTATTTTACGTACTCAATATATAATGATAGCTGCATGGATTGGAAATTTGGAATTATGGGATCCCGACAAAACTAGGGCTACTTGTTAGGTGTTAGGAAGAGATATTGATAGTTGTTACATCCGTTACCGTGATCAAGCTTGTGGCGAGCTATGGATAATTTATCCAAAGACCAAGTTTTATACACCGTACATCATTGGGTAGACCGTAGACCGTAGACCGTAGACATATATACGTGTTTTCAATTTATACCATTCAAGATATATAAATGTATTTTCCTTATTTCTACCTACAATATATAATTCGAAACATATTGTAGAAATATATATATATGAAAATAAAACTGAAACAGCAAACGTCACTAAATATTTACAGTTGTAAATAATACACCGTCAAAATGTCACAAAAACATCCAAAGAAATACGATTTATTCTGTTTTGTTTCCAGTAAAATGAAATATTTATAACAAACATCGACATGTAGACAAGATAGTTAGATCATATCATAAACTATTCTTATTACCGTCCTAATCCAAAGAAAAAAAATATATGACCAATAAAAAAGTAATATATTGTTTTTTCTGTTTTGTTAATTTTCTAAACGTTGAAGTCTTTTATTCTAAAAACATGTAAACATTAAAAATTTCCATACTAGATTGTTATGTAATTTTGTAGTTATATCTATTTGTTAGAAACTCTTAAAGGCTAAATCATAAGAGTATTTTTTAGTACCCTGACCATAAAAAAAAAAATCTGTAAGACTGAATCAAATCTAGGAAAAGTAAACTTAATATAAAATACCAAACTAGGTGAACAACACCATTTTATTTTATCAAGCATAAACCTTTAATTCGTGTTACATCATATTACTTAGTGTTTAATAACGATAAACACTCTTGTTATATTGACTAGATTTAGTTTTTGAACTTGGCCTCAAGGTCCTTGACAACATTGACATCTAACTTAAACGCCTGAGCCAGAATCTCTGGATTAATCGGTGGTGTTGAGCCAAATACAGTATCAGCGATCGTGATGACTCCAGCGTTCTGGCTACTTAGTCCAGCAAAGGCCACTGCAGGGGTCTTCCCCATATTCACTTGGAAATGGATCATTCCTATGGGGAAAACGAACACGTCACCGGGGTACAACATTTTGGCGAATAGACGGTTATTGTCTTGGTTGGAAGAGACAAACCCGACATATAATGTTCCCTCGAGAAGAACAAGGATCTCAGTGGCACGAGGGTGCGTGTGAGGCGGGTTTTTTCCGTATGGTGCATAGTCTATGCGGACCAAGGATATTCCCATAGTGTTTAGCCCTGGAATCTGGTCGACATTGACTGTTGTCACATTGGATTTGACATCATTATTAGTGTCTCCTGCCTGGTTGAGGCCTGAAAAGAAGAAATCTTCTGCCTTCGCTTGCATCGGATCCTTACAGAACTTGCCATTCACAAAAACTGCACGTAGATTTATTGGTTTGAAAAAGCATATATTACAACTTCGAATTTAACATAATAAAGGAGAACACTAATTAGTAGAGAGGCAAAATTCGAGTTTTATACTCACCACCGTTCTTGGGATCATCAATGGCTACACAGAAGTCTTGGAGTGGACTTGGATCGTAACCATTGACAAAGGAAATGACCAAAGCCGATAAGGTAATCAAGATGAGAGACTTGGAAACCATCATTTTCAAACAAAATTTTCTGCTAAAGCTTTTTCAAGACTTTGTAATTATATATGTGTGTGTGTGTGTGTTGTTTATGAATTGTAACTCGTTTCAGCTCAGTATTTATAGGACAAAACCGCATGTCATATTTGACGTGGTCCAAAGTACGTAATTGTATACATTTGTAGTTAAGTCGCATGTTTCAAAGTGGCAGTTCAAAAACGTTTAACAAGTCTATATATCGATGACATAATCTATCTTTAATTAAATTTGGATTTGAATGATTAAACAGTATCCAGAAAGCCACAACCAAAGCTTATATGGATTTATACTATAGTACTGTTATCCTTGTATCACCTTCTAGAGTGATGAACAATATATTTGGCAAGAATTGTATTACTTATTAAAATGTATATTTTAATCAGTGAAACGAAAATTATATGCTACGTTGGGCTATTAGTATTAGTGAGACATTTGAAACATAGTAAATCTAGCTTGTTCGCCAAAACTAAAAAACTATATATGTGAATGGTGACAAAGTACTATTATAAACGTACGTACCAAATATATGTTGTGCTATTAGCGAGACCATGCAAGTCTGTTATGACGAAAGCAAATTTATATCTTCTAGATTGACTTACAATATATTTTACAAATCTGCTATGACTTAGGTAAGATAAGAGCATACTTTTTTTTTGTAGTTTACCTGTGACTACGTCTTACTGGAAGACTTTCTTAAACTGCCTTGATAAGTTTATTTACAGCAAACACGAACAAGTCTTGTTAGGACCAAGTCTGTTTTTATCTTAGATCGAATACTATACAGTTTGAATATTTTGGTTATTTTCAAAATCTATTGTTCTTTTATTATAGTTTTCTCTTAAGAAAAAGTAATTTCGTGAGGAAAAGTAATGTTATTACTTAATACTAAAATATTAAATTAAGTGAATTTAGTTGGTAAATATCCCAGTCTTGAACCACTGCAAGACAAAAGCAAAGACCAAATTTCCAAAGTATATGTTGAGAAGGTCTCTTAAGAATCAACCATTACTATTTGTGTGTATTTATATCCAACAACGCAATTTTTATAAAACTCATGCTCCATCAAAATGATACTTTGATTATGTACATCCAGGGGCGGACCCAGAAAAAATATTAAATGGGTGCAAAAAGGTAGCACATATGACTTGAACCCACAACCTTAAACATTATATGGGGGCAGTTTAACCATTTTGACACTTACAACTTTAATTTTAATGTAAAATTTTTAGTTTTTAATAGGTTGGTGGGTGCAACTACCCTCACTTTTTTCTATGTGGGTCCGCCCCTGTGTACATCCATTTCCTATCAGTCGCATGATTTAGCCTTCGTCTTAACCTAGACATAGTATAAATTAAAGTTATGAAGGGTTTTTTCATGATATTTCCCTTACAGTTTCCTTTTCATAAAATTTATTTAGTTTATGAATTTAAATGTTCTTTAGTTTTAACAAGTAAATAGTTATATTCAATGGTTTGTTTTCGCTAACTTTATTTGAGTAGTTTTATCCTTTGGAACAAAAACATTTAGTAGCCTGACGTTAGAAAAATGTAAGACAGAATCGTATATAGGAAAAGTAATTAAGCTTAACATAAAATATCAAATTAGGTGGATAACTCTTTTTATTTTATTAAGCATATATCTTTGATTCGTATAACATCATTATATAAGTGTTACCAGTCAACACTCGTATATAATGACTTGATTTAGTTTTTAAACTTGGCCTCAAGGTCCTTGACAACATTAACATCTAACTTAAAAGCCTGAGCCAAAATCTCTGGATTAATCGGTGGTGTTGAGCCAAATACAGTATCAGCGATCGTGATGACTCCAGCGTTCTGACTACTTAGTCCAGCAAAGGCCACCGCGGGTGTCTTCCCGACATTCACTTGGAAATGGATCATTCCTATGGGGAACACAAAGACGTCTCCCGGGTGCAACATTTTGGCGAATAGACGGTTATTGTCTTGGTTGGAAGAGACAAACCCGACATATAATGTTCCCTCGAGAAGAACAAGGATCTCAGTGGCACGAGGGTGCGTGTGAGGCGGGTTTTGTCCGTATGGTGCATAGTCTATGCGGACCAAGGATATTCCCATGGTGTTTAGCCCTGGAATCTGATCGACATTGACTGTTGTCACGTTGGATTTGACAGCATTATTAGTGTATCCTGCCTGGTTGAGGCCAGAGAAGAAGAAATCTTCTGCCTTCGCTTGCTTTGGATCCTTACAAAACTTACCATTCACAAAAACTGCAAGTAGAAATATTTATTTGAAAAACATATATTAAAAATGTGAATTTAATTAGTCATAACGAAGAAGAATAATAATCAGCAGAGTTTTTATACGCACCACCATTTTTGGGATCATCAATGGCTACACAGAAGTCTTGGAGTGGACTTGGATCGTAAGCTTTGGCAAAGGAAATGACCAAAGCTGATAAGGTCATCAGGATAAGAGACTTGGAAACCATATTTTTCAAACAAAAAATTCTAGTAATGCTTTCTAAGGATCTTGTATGTGTGTGTGTGTGTGTTGTTTGTGAATTGTGAAACCATTTTGAGCTCAGTATTTATAAGATAAAAGCGCATGTCAGATTTGACGTAGTCCAAAGTAATTCTATAAATTTGTATATATGTCGCATGTTTCAAAGTGGCAGTTCGAAAACGTTTAACAAGTCTATCTATAACTTAAATCTATCTTTAATTAAATTCATTTGCATGACTATTTACCTATGTTGCACGTACAATCCCACGACCAGAGAGCTTGTAATTTATTGATTTGAAATATTGATTTCCTTGTATCACCTTCTAGATTCAAATCTATTAGCATATGTGTACGTGTAGGACTTATATTGGTGCATGCATTGATCTTGGTTAATTTCAAAGTTAACTGGTCTTTTTGGTAATGTATTCTCTCTTATAAAACGTAATGACTACTTCAAAGCAGGGAAACTATGTTAATACTACTAATATATCAAATTAATATAAAAAAGTAACATCATTAATTAGTTGTTAAATATCTCAGTCTTTAACAACTACCACAATGAAAAAAAGTGAAGACCAAATTTCACAAGGTCTCATAAAAATCAACCATTTCATTTTGTGTGTATCTTTCTTCAACAAGAAACGCTTAATTCATACAACTCTCAATCAAATTGATACTTTGATTTCGAAGAGAAAAAAAACTTTGATATGATGTCCTGATTCGTACCGATTGCATGGTGATTCACTTGGATTTTTTTTTTTTTGGATTTGGTTGTTTTGTCAAATAAATTAGAGTTACTCTGATGATTTTGTTCAATGATTAATTTTTTTTTTACTGTTTTAATTTCCCTGCATTAACTGTTTATGATTATAAATGTACGTTTAATTAGTAGTAATTAATTGATGTATTTCTATGAAAGTTACTAGCTAGCTAGTTCTGTGTTTTATGGTTTGTTTATGCTAACTTTATTTGATTTGAGTAGTTTTATATTTTCTAGCAACTTTAAAGTTAATAAAGACCTCATTAGGTATCCACGAAAAGCAGTATATCATAAAGACCTCATTAGGTATACACGAAACGCAATATATCTTATTCAAAAAAAGAAAAGCAATATATCATAAAGCCTTATTTAATTTTTAAATTGACTGGAATATATAAATCCTAGTAATTTTAAGTTTGAGTGGCGTCATAACAATGACACTTACATGCATAGACCACTAGACTATGTATTAATCATCTTTGTAATTGTTTTTATTCTTTTGGGAAGATGCTGTTTAAATTGAATGTTTGTATCGTTCTAACAACTCTTAAGATTTTATCAAGTATTCATTCTCTTGATTATGCCTGACAATAGGAAAATGTTAAAAAAAAAAAATCAATATAAAGAAAGTACAAACTTTTTTTAAATATCAAATTAGGTGAACCAAATCTTTTTGTTTTATTTTGTTAAGCATAACATTTTCAATAGTACGTATTACATTGTTATTTAACTGTTACAATAACAAACACTCTTAAAACTCAATTCTTGGGTGCAAACTTGGCTTCAAGGTCTTTGACGACATTGACATCTAGCTGAAAAGCCTGAGCCAAAACCTCTGGATAAATGGGAGGCGTTGATCCAAACACTGTGTTTGCAATTGTGATGACTCCAGCGTTCTGGCTACTTAGTCCAGCAAAGGCAACTGCGGGGGTCTTCCCGATATTCACTTGAAAATGGATCATCCCTATGGGGAAAACGAATACGTCGCCCGGATGCAAAGTTTTGGCGAATAGACGGTTTTTGTCTTGATTAGAAGACACAAACCCGACATACAAAGTTCCCTCGATAAGGACAAGGATCTCAGTGGCACGAGGGTGCGTGTGAGGCGGGTTTTGTCCATAAGGCGCATAGTCTATACGGACCAAAGATATTCCCATAGTGTTTAGTCCTGGAATCTGATCGACATTAACCGTTGTCACGTTGGATTTGACATCATTATCGGTGTTTCCTGCCTGATTGAGGCCCGAGAAGAAGAAATCGTCTGCCTTCGCTTTCTTCGGATCCTTACAGAATTTACCATTCACAAAAACTGCAAATAGAAATATTGATTTGAAACCATATATTACTACTTCGATTTTAATCATAATCAATATAGCGAACCGTAAGTAGAGAAATAAAGAAACATTTGTTGTTATTATTATTCATACAATCATACGTACCACCATTTTTGAGGTTACCAACGGCCACACAGAAGTCTTGAAGTGGACTTGGATCATAAGCATTGGAAAAGGGAATGACCAATGCCAAAGTAATAATAGAGATGATAAGAGACTGATGAGGGATCTTCATTTTTTGTTTATGCTAATGTTTTATTTTTTTTATGATTTGCTATATATGTGAAGGAATGAGTTCTTACTATTTATAGGGCAATAACGTATGTCAACTTTGACGTGGTCCAAATTCATTTCCATCTTGTATGTTTCAAAGTGGCAGTTAGAATGTTTAATAAGTCTATCGTTAATCTAATCTATTAGTTAAGCGGTAGGTAAGTGGAATGTGACGAATAAAAATACTTATATAACCAAGAGGTAGACAATTCTATAGAAATATAAACTCAGAATACTTTTACAATATTGGTTATGTTTTCTTGGTAATGACAATACAGTGTATAAGTTAGTAGAATAGGTAAATTAATGTTTAAAAGATTACTTTTATAGCTACTTAAAATATTTTTATTCCTAATTAATGAAGATTATTTTCTCTTACTATGAATCAATATAAATATGTTAGACTATAAATCAATATAGGAAAAAGTGAAGCTACTAATAAAATTCAATGTTAAATTTACGTGTAATACAACAAATGGTTGGTGAACATCCCACTTTTAAACTAGTGCAATATCGGAAAAAAACAAGAAACCGTAGTTTCAATTTCTGTATCTTCTTTCAACAAGACAAGTTTTCTACTACTCATGCTTCCATCGAGATGATACTTTGAATATGTACTCACTTGTCTTTTTTGTTCTCCTCTTTTCAAGTTCGAGTTGTTTGCATGGAAATTTAATATACCGAGTACCGACAATACTAAAACGTAAGATTAGATTTATACGCGAAAACTAAAGTTCATATTAGAAAATAGAAACTAGGTAAAACATCATATTTTAACATTATAAGATCCATGAATATTTCTAAGTATTGCATTTGTAAAATGAGTGTTACAAAACAATTGATATACATGTCTAAACACGACTTAGATTAACGAGGATGAGTAAACTTGGCCTGAAGTTCTCTAACGACACTTTCATCCAACTGGAAAGCCTTAGCAAGAAGGTCTGGATAAACCTGAGGGTATGACCCGAACACCGCGTTAGCAATTGTGATGACTCCAGCGTTCTGACTACTCAATCCCGCAAAAGCAACTGCTGGAACTTTGCCGAGGTTGATCTGAAAATGGATCATTCCTATGGGAAACACAAAAACATCTCCCGGGTGCAATACTGTGGTGAATAAGCTGTTGTCGTTTTGATTGGAAGCGATGAAACCAACGTATAATGTTCCTTCGACTAGGACAAGTATCTCTGAGCCACGAGGGTGTGTGTGAGGAGGGTTTTGTCCATATGGTGCGTAGTCTATACGGACCAATGATATCCCCATGGTGTTAAGCCCTGGGATCTGATCAACACTAACAGTGGTCTGTTAAGAAAAGAACTCTCCTTCCCTTTATTAACCCAAAACAGAATCGATTACAGCCACAGATATGTGAAGAAGAGTCTCTAGACGCAGCTAGACATTACTCTCTCTCCTCAGAAGACTCATACGTCTCTGTTTACACATACAACAACATAAGAATGATAAAATGTCAAATGCTATAGTTTTATACAAGTATCTTTCTCCCACGTGCCATCTTCTTCTTCTACACGTGTTATGTTTGTTCTATTTCTTCTCCTTGTATACACTTGCATAGGCTTATCAATACCCCCCTCTTCGAAACGAAGCTTGTCCTCAAGCGCTAAAGTCGGAAATTGGCGCTGTAACTCCTTGACAATTTCCCAAGTGTCCTCATGACCAGGTAATCCTTTCCAATGGACTAAAGCCTCCAATACTCCACTGTCATTGTAACGAGTCTCTAAAACTGCTTCTGGTTCCACTACCAATTCATCAGACTCATTAAACAGCTCTGGTAAAGGAATAACCTGTTGGTTCTGTCCCAATACCTTTTTCAATTGAGAGAC